GTTGGTCTGACCAGGGACACAGAGCCACCACGCCTGTGACACGTGTGACACTGCACTGGCAGCATCACTGGCTCCGGCAAGGTGTGGGATCAGCAGGATTTCTGTTCTCCTGCATCCTGATGCAGTTCATTTTGCTGGTGAGGTTTGGAAGTCCCTCAGCACGGCCAGGTGTCTGCTACAAGTAATAATGTGCATCCAAATCAGCTTGCCAAAACTGAACCAAAAAATTTGGTCCTATTTGGTGCCTTCCGACCCATTAAAGGTAATTATGAGGAGTTCTTGTTTATAAAGGAGAAAGGTCAAACTTAAAATATGCCTGCAATTATACAACTGTCCAGTAAGAAACCCTCTAGTTCAAGCCACAAACAGCTGTAAACTTCATCTACACAGCTGTTTCTTCTGAGTCACTTACAGCATTGCCTTTTCACAGCCTTAATCAAGGAAGTGGTAGCATTTATTATTTTATTTTGCTTCCTGGTTACCATCCAATTTCTCTTTTTTTGGTAATTATTTCCTATTCTGCTATTAATGTCTGGTTTGATCCTTTCATTTGAAGGAGTTTTCTTTAGATTTCCTGAACATTTTGCCTGTGAAATACTGGAACCTGTGCACGTGTTCTAACTCTGAGATAAGTCTGGATCTGATTCTGGTTTTGTCTTAAACGTAAGTTGTGTTAATAAAGTGCCAATGAGTGGAAATTATGCTTTTTTTTTTCATTTATCAAGTACCATTTTCACGCCACATTTTATGTTCTCTTTATGCTTCCTGTTCACCACTAAATGGCGCAATTTCACTTCTCTCCATCTGACGGTTCAGTCGCTTGTTTTCTAAAGAATTTTTGTTTCTTCCTTTTCTACCCACCATAATATGCTCTATATCTTACTTTTACACATCAGGTTGTTAAAGGAAAGCTCCCAGTTGCCTTTTCAGTTACTGTTGCAAGCCTGTTTGTAATTTCCCTCTGTTTCTTTATGTTCTTCAGCAGGTTCAATAAAAGCAAGAGGTAAAACTCAGTTCAAATACCCTCTTTTAAGGAGTGAATGCAGTGCCTTCTTAGAAAGCAAGGCAGAAGACTGCTCTTTACCTCCCTCTTGGTAATTTTTGGAAAAACTTTAAAGGGTGATGAAGTGGTCTTGAGCAGTTTTGGGAATGTTCCCATTGTAGAAGTGAGAGGCATCCTGGATGCCTAACTACTTTGTTCTTGTGGCAGGTAACACAAATGCAAATAATTCATTTTCATTTTCTGTGGCACTGGAAGAATTCATACACGGGGTAATCACCTTGTGACAGCTTTTTCCCATCATATGTTTTAATATTCAGACTGATGGTAATAATCACTCCAATTGCATTTTCTATACCCAAATGTTTAGCTAACTTAATTGCTGTTCTGATAACTTCTGAAGGAAAACATTTAACATAATTGGCTCCACAAAGAGCTGAAGTGCATTAAATGTGCAGTGATAGAAATTTCACCTCCTACACTCCTCAGATTTTTCTTGGTATGTTTTTCTTTCTCTAGTATTTCCTGAGCATCTCTTTGGCCACCATTTGATGCCTTTCAGGACCCCTGCTCTCTTCTCTGCCCTTCTCTCCCTTTGTGAATGAAAATCCACCAGTTTGGTTTCTTTAACTCTCCTGACCTCTGTGCTCTCTCTGACACCATGCCCCTCTGGTCAGCTTTGGCTTTTCACCTGCACTTGAGTCCCTTTTTCCACTCATGTGGCACTCAGGTTTTAGTCCAAAGATGTTATGAAAGAATGTACAGTACTGGGTTGTCAGAGTGTATTAGCAAAAAGATAACTTTGGAACAGAAAGAAAATAAATACTGACTGAAGTACCTTTGCTGCTCTTCTGGTGAAAAAGAGGAAGCACCAAGTTAATCCTCATGAGTGATTTTCACATCTTAAGGACTGCATTGCACCAAGCTACCAAAAATAGTTAAAATACTACATCAGAGAGCCTGTTACTTTGGGGAGTCTGAGTAGTTCATACCTTAAAGTCATAGTATTCTTTGTCAACATATAAATAAAATGTTTTCATTATATTTTAAAACTGTGGTTCAGCAAGCCCTCAGAATGATACATGTTAAATAAATGGCAGCAGAAACTTTTCACTCTGCACAACTGCAGATTAAGAAAGAGTATTTTACTTGTAATTGTTTATTATTATCATCCTTGAGGAAGTAATTTGGTTTTGTTAAATAGGGTAGAGCAGGCAATTGTTACAATGTCCTTGTAGAAACCAGACAGAACTATTTCCTGCCTTCTGAAACAGGAGGTTCTTGTAGTCCCTGCTCTACTTGCCAATATTTGCACATCTCATGCAGCTCTCCCAACGTTTTCCTCTCTCCAGTTAGCAGAATCTTATTAGAGGCTAAAGTGGCATTTTAGATTTCAAGTAATCAACAGATGATTTTCAAAATTAATGAGGCACTTCGGAGAACTCCCTGAGCACCCTTATGTGAGTGTGAAATACATTCTGTCATCTCTGAGGCTGCTCATTCAGGTGAAAATTGAAATGAGTACAAATGTGCAGAGCCACGGCTTGTTTCGAAGGTCAGCATTAGGAAACATTCATGCAAGGTCACAGACAACTCCAATCTTTAAGTCTAGAAGTTTAAAACAAAGCTTCAATTTTCTGTCCAAATACCTCCCTTTTCCCCAACCATTTATTACCTTGCAATTCTGTTTGAAAAGTTACACATGTACTTAAAGAGTGTCCTTAATACTGAAAGTCATCGTTAGATGTAGTATACTGGAAGGTACAGCTTCACATTGACCAAAGAAAATTGGCCATTCTTGATAAGAATGCTATTTTAAAGGTTGAAAAATTCTTGTCCAAAACATAAACACCTTACATATGTGACAAGAGGAAGATAAAATCCTTCCACAACTAATTTTAATAAAACAAATCACGTAGATGTAGGTTTTTTAAATAAATAGTTTGCTCCTGTGCAAGGCTGAGAGACCTTGGCATTTATTCACTGCCTCTGGTATAAGAGGAGAAAATACACAGGGCTTTGACTGGATAGAATCACTTAAATAAAACTGGATTATGATTATATTCTGTCCTTGATCTCCTACCCTAAGCTTATAACTAATTCACTGAAAAATACATTATATCATGAGCTTCTCCATGTCCTAGTGGATGCTTCCAAAATACTAATCTGCATCAGACTGTACCCTAGTGCAGTCAAGCTGTTAGAATTTACAGAGGGAGATGAAATTTTCATGGGTTGTTTTTTAACTTTTTCTTCTTCAGAGGTCATGTTGGTTAAGACATTATTTCCCTTCAGTTACCAGAATATCCCTTGTAGTTTAAAAGAAAAAAAAAATATTTTCCAGCTCCTGTATTTTTAAAGCATTTATGATATTGGTAGCAACACGTGGATAGCCCTTCAACCAGATGACTGTTTGCATATTGCATGATACCCTACACTGGGTGAGTTTTGTTCTTGGTTTCTGCATTTCTACTTTTACCACAGTTTCTCCAAAATTTCTTTAGGCCTTGACAACCCTGAAAAGGAAGGGGCCAAGTGTGCAGGCTCAGTTAGCAATGGCCCTGGGACAGGATACAGTGAGCAGGAGCTGGGCTTGTTCCAGCCTGGAAACATGGCTGGATGACACAGACACAGACCTGTATTTGTATTTTCAGACACTGTAACTCTAAGAAAAAAACCACTGAAATTACCAGTCAGAAGTGTGCATTTAAAAATAAAGAGCATCCTTGTATAGTAAATGTGTTACTAAGCATTATTCTTTAACACTGACTGCAGTATATAACTTCAGTGTTGAAAAATAAAGAGGTGAAAACCTCTCACGTTTCTCCTCAGTAATGTACCTTAATGGTGCTGCTGCCACCCACTACAAGGAAAGCCACTTGTGCAGTCACAGCAGCAGGAGCCTGTCACTATGTGCATTTATGTAGAATTCAATACTGGTCTTTGAGCACAAATGAAATATCAGATCATTCCTCTCCCACTTGTTAGGAATTGTTGACAGAGGTGAGGTTGTCACAAGAAAACCTGTGTAAATTGAAATAAACATACCAGCTAACAGGTTAGAGGGTAAGAGAGTGGTGTCCACCCACAAAGAAGCATGGGACAATGGCAGGTCCTCACTGGTTCCCTCAGCCCAGCAGTCAGAGCAACTCCTGCAGCAGTGAAGACTTTTCCCAGATCAACAGGTTGCTGGAGAACCACATGAAAATTATCATTCCCAGCATGACCAGTACTGAGTTTCCTGAGTACTGCTGGATTCATTTCAGGAGCAAAGAGAGTTTAACCTTTCTCTGGAACTTGTCCTCTAGTTCCATCATGTAATATCTCTCAACCCAATGGCCAAAGAGTGCTCATGCAGCTTATTTTTTTTCTCCTACGTTTTGGTCAAAACACAATCAAATGTTCTTCCAGACTTTTCCACAATATGCTCCCACCACACTGACAAAAACTGTCAATGATCCATGACCGTATGATGCCAAGCTCAGCATCTTTCAGCTTTCCCTTGGCTCATGGAGTCCATCCTTGCTCACAGCTGAAATGCTGCCTGCACATTACACCCAGCAGCTGCACCAGCAGGGCACAGGGTGAAAAGCCTTCCATGCTTTAACAAAAGCACGGATCTGAGGCCTGCACAACAGGAATCCTGGTGTCCAGAGAGCAAACCAGCCAGTCCAGGGCTGCACATCAGCACATGGTCCCCATCAGAGCTCACTGCCACGAGTCACAGCAGCCTTACCTGCATGGCCAGGCAGGTGCCTCTGACTCCCAAGGGCTCCAGCAGCGTAAGGGCAAAAGGCAAAAAAGGCCACAGACCTGGCTGATCTGAGGGTAATTGTTAATTAATGAACTGCACACAACTCTCAGTGCAGATAAGACCAGTTATCTGCACGGATAAATCCTGCAATGGGAAGGGTTCTAGAAATCAGTATGTTTCTAATTGGAAGCATCTCCTTTCTTAACTTGTGAAAAACTTTCAATTACAAAAAGCAACACACTTATGTGAAAGATAATTGTGTTTTTATTTTTCTAAGCTCGCACTTGTGGAACATAGTAAATGACCTGATATAATGACAACTTTGCAAAAGAAGAATCCCCCTCTCCCCAACATCTGGACAGCAATATATAAATATTTACAATGAAAAAAATAGGAAAGTGAAGAGAATGAAGTCAACATTAGCCAAGTCAGTTTGTTTCTACAGATCTGATTTTGAACATTAAGCAGTCAAGATTAACCAACACTCTCCTTCAGTACTGAGGCTTAAACCCCATTTTTAGATCTTATGTGCAACAGATACACTCCTGACTCTGCTTTTATAGTTTGCTCCTGTACAGTAACCATAGAATTTCCCCACTAAATTTTTATTCCAGGTTTTTAACTTTGAAAACAACAAAAAATTAAATATAACTTTATATGTCTCCTGATACAAAGTTTCTCACACAGTCAAACACATCACAACACTGAAAATCAGCATAATGAAATGCTGTATAGCTTCTTAACAAGGACAATAGGTCTGGGTCCTGATCTGTTTGCTTTAACAAAAGCTCTCTTCAAATAGAACAAGTACATATAGAAAAAATAACCTTCTTATTTTCTTATTAAAAAAGGAAATGGTGCTTTCTATAAACAAAAGAACATGTGATTTCTTTGACACAGATATAAGTTACAGTGGAAAAAGCTCAGAAAGCTTCAAATAAAATTGGCATTTATTTAAAAGGATGGTTTAACAAGTTGATTGGATGAGGTTCAATCAGCCCATAGAGTCTGGCAATTCTAGAAACATCAGTGTAAAAAACCCTGCTTTTTTTGCTTTCTGCTATCCAGTGTCACACAAGCACTGGCTGAGAACATGTTGCCTGCAGCAATGGAGACACTGATCCCACAGTGTGGCTGCTGGCTGCGGGTGGCCCTGGCAGCTGTGTCACATGTGAGAGCTCCGCCTGCCCCGCGTGCCCAGCGACACTCGCAGCCGCGGCTCTCTGGCCTTGTAGTGCTCGTTGAAGTCCAGCCTGAAGCTCAGGAACCGAAGGCTCTCGTCTGAACTGGTTGTCAGCAGGACCAAGAACTGCTGGACGATTCCCTGAAGAGGAAAGAAAAACCCAAGAGACAGTTAAGGAAGCATCCCTGGTGTGTTTTGAACAGGAATATCAGGTGGTGCACAGATCTGGTAAATAGGAAGACAGAATCTGGGAAAAGGCAAGCACAAGGGTTCATACCCAACAGTTATGGTGGATTCATTCTTTCTGCAAAACCCCAGAGCTTCTTTTTTATTTTTCAAATATCTGCTAAGCATGCTAGAATCTTCAGTGCAAACAGCTTGGCCTTTTGAAGTGTGTTCCCCACTCCCTGTGCCCTGCTGGCACACCCCATCTGTCTGAAGGCTCCCAGGCTGCAGAGCAGCTGCCTCTGTGTGCCACTGCCTCAGGACAGCATTCAGGATCCAACCTGTGCCAGCAGGAGACCTCACCTTGAGTCCGAGCTGCAGGCACAATGCCATCCAGGCCAGCATTAGGGCACTGCCAGCTTCAAACACACCACTTGATATGGCTCGTACAGCAGCACGGGGCACCCCAGAATAGCAAAGCATGTGCCCAGGAGGGCAGTCAGTGCTGCAGACACAACTAGACTGAGCATTTGGAGCAATTTGAGAGGGGATTTGCACTTGGCAGGAGGGATGTACACTTCTGCATCCCATCTTCCCATTCAGCTCTAACCACGCCACTGCAGGAGACCCGCAGGACACAGGAAAGGAGAGGACTCTGGGAGGATGGGAAGACTCATTTGAAGAGTTCATTCCTAATCCTCAGCAAATAGTACATGGACATGAACATGCCCATAACTAGGGCACTGCATTACTTCCAAAGGTGATGAAAACTGGCCATGGAAATCCTGTTTGGAAAATCCATAATAGGGCTCAGAATGAATACAGTCCAAGCAGGCAAAACCTAGATTGCCAACTTGTAGAGCACATGAACCATAATTTATTTACAACCTACACTTAAGACCTACACTCAATTTTCTGGGGAATGGTAGCTTTAGCATCAGATATAACAAATAAAGACAAAGCCAGAATAAATTACTTACAGAAGATAGCCTGAACATGCTCCCCCAAACATCTTATCCGCTGTCCCCCACCCCTCCAGTGAGCTTAAAATTTTAAGTGTAAGGCCCTTAATAAGAAACTTTCTGCAGTCTTTAATAGCAATGACTTGTAAAAACTGTGAGTAAAAAAATGGAATGCAGAAGGAATTCTATCTTTTTCCCCCCTCAGACTACACCAAAAGATAGCTATTACTTTCACTAGTGGAGGAAGAAGACAACTTACATGAAATTACTCTTCTCCCTTGTCTGGGGAATATAAATGATCACAAAACCTTTGACTACTAAGCAACAGTGAACACATAAGTAGAGAAGGAAAAAACAAAAGACCTAGCTCCACAAACTACGCACACATGAATACAGAAGTTACATCTACTCAATATTTGAAATTAATTTCTACACAACGCTCAGCATATTTTTGAAAAATATAACTTAATAGGCACCTGGTAAAAGTGAGTGAGTATTCGCAGCTGTGAGCACATTTTAGGTATTGAGTCTTGAAATTCTTTCATCCTCTTGTTCTCTTCTTCCTCTTCTGATGCAGTTACACCCCACTTGCCCTAAACAGAAACCAAACAAGTTAAGAGGTGAAGCATCACATGATTCAAGTTGCTAACTGGGCCACCTTCTGCCCAGCTGCATCAGGTTTATAAAAACCAACCACTGCCATAGAAAGACAAACACAGAGCCTCCAAAATGGAAACTATCAGACCCCCCCCCCCCCCTTGGGGGTTGTACAGCACATAAAAGAAATATGAGGTTTATTAGGAAGCCAAGTCTCACACCAACAGTGCATGTCAGTCTTGCAGCAAGGAGGCAGACATGGAGCTACAGCATGTTTTGAAAAAGGGATCCATTTACTTCATCTGAAAGACCCCTAAATTTCTCATCCTCCAAAGTCCACTAGATAAATCAACTCAGATTTTGGGCAAGACAGAAATCAAAAACACCACTCATCCATTTTGCTTGAAGTCACCAGCAACTTCTGACAACTTTTACATCTGTTCCAACGACATTTTTCATTTTTACTGTACCGCTACATGGCATCTAAAATCCTCCATATATCAAAAGCCTCAATTAATTTTCACATTCTAGAATATCCTTCTTGTACCTCAAGTTCACGCTGTTTTTTCCTCTCTTCAAATTGCAACCTCAGCTGCAGCTCCTCCAGAGCAGCTCTGTACATTGCATCTTGGGCATTCTGGAGCTCAATGATCTGGTCAAAAACTGCTCGAAGCTGATTGAGAAGTACCTGCGAGACAGGTAACAAAATAATTAAACAGCTGTACAGCACAAGAGTTTTAATCTTACTACCCTTCTCCAGAAAAGGAGCAAAGAAAAAAGTAAAAGAAAAAAGTAGAAGAAAAAAAAATTTTTTTACACAGCTGGAGAGACTGTTCTGCAAAGCCCTAAGTCAGTTGTGCTACAATTACACAGCTTCTCAGGATGAAAAAGAACTGGCCCACATTACAGCAAGTTTTATTATGGACATGTGTCAGTATGTCTGGGCAGTAGGTACTGAACTTACCATTATAAAATCTTATATCAGAGGAATAAAAATGACTTTTCCCTTTGCTCCTACAATGTTAAAGAAGGTTATTCCTTACATATATGCCAAGTTTATAAAGTTACAATTACATGCAAAGGAGACCACTTACCCTGGAATCACTATCCAGTAAGCACCGAGCTATGATTGTATCCAGAAAAACTTCATGAGCTGCAATGATGTGATCCAGGTCCTGTGCTTGTTGGACCTTGTTCCAGAGTTCATCCCATGAACATTCAAGCACCTGGAGCAATGATACAGGATTGGGCTGTTTTGATTTGCTAGATGACATGTTGTTTAAAATTTAAGACACACAACACATACAGAATATTGCAAGTGCTTAATTTTCTAAGTAACTAATTGGGTGGGTAGAGTATACCTCAAATGTAATGTAATACTGCATTTGATGAATGAAATGGACCATTTCTGATGCCAAAACGTGACACTGATGCAGCACGCCAGAAAGCTCTGTAAAAAAATCCAAAGAGACAGCATGTTAAAGACTGCAAGGACAAGCACAGCCAACAAATCAGCTTGATAAATTTTTTTTCACCATATTGAATATTTCATAACACAACCACTAATCTTAGATGGTAGCAGCAGTGACCTTCTGAGGCCAGGTGTCCTCTCCCACCCACCACAAGTTCTTAATTATGTAATAATAAATTTGTAAGTATTACTATGCCATAAAGAAGTGTAACTCTCAATAGTTATTTTTTACTGAAAGACATGTAGATAGATTAAAAAAAGTTCAAGAGTGAGCTAGTACAGATGCTCAAATACATGGCTATATTATCTAGCTGAAAAATAAGATCAAAAAGTCCATGAAACATAGACCAGAGGCACTACATTTCAGAGCTTTCCTATTTCTTCTCAAACATCTTTCTCTTCTTAGCCTCTTCTGTTCTTAGCTAAACAAAAGCAGAAGGAATAAGTGAAGGTAAAACTAGTAAATTCAGAACTGTGCATGTCTGAGACTTAATAGTCAAAAGACAGCATAAGAAAGAGGGAGACATGGGGTACAATAAGAAGGCATCAAGGAAGATGAATACAAAGGGATCGAAGAGTTACAGTCTCACAACCAGGCCAGCACAAAGATACTTACATTAGTGCAACTTTTCAAGACAGAGATCAAGGATTAGGTAAAAACAACAGATAGGAAACATCTATTTAAAATTATGTTATTTTACCATGGTCATCCTTACCCATCATTTACCATTAAACAGTCAGTCAAGAGGAGCACCAAAATGCAAAATTAATCTGAACATGATTCATCAGACACTCTTTTCCCTCTTCACACACAGTTTAAAATAAGATGCAGTCATCTGTATCTATTTTAGAAGCATGTCATCCATCTGGACACCTCTCACCTGGCATGCTTTTCAGAAGCTTTGCATTGCACATGTGCCCTTTCCATATATCAGTAAGAATGTACTCCATTCTCTTTGCTCTCCAAAGGAAATTAAATACTCTTAGATAGTGGCTCATGCACTCACGTGTAAATACCTACAAAACAAAGAAAATACCAGTACAAATTAAGAGACATACCATATGTCCTGAAGTACCAAAAGCCCCTTCACAGTTCATCTTATCTGATCCATGCAGTTTATTGGTAAATATTGGAAAAAAAAAAGTTTCCAGGAAATCCCAGAGCTTTTGGTAAGATCCTCCCTTGAGGGCTGAACAGGGCACTGCTGGAAATGAAAGAAAGGGTGAACAAAACAAAGCCTAAGCCTATTTTAAAACTGTGTATGAAAACTCCTTCTGCTGGTCAGATTCACAGTTTGTCCTGCTTAAAAAAAAAGTTTTTTACAAGTTCTTTATAAAGGCTAAATACATTCAGATAAACAATGCAGCTACCTACCAAATGCCATTTAGACAGCATAAATAAGTTCTCCAAAAACACATTCAGTTCCTTTCAAATTTTCCCAAATTAGTATCTACAGACTAGTAATTATCAAAGAATAGGAACACTCAATTTATTAAGTACTTGCTAAAAACTGTGCTGGAACAAGTGAATTACTGATATTCAGTAATGACTGTTTTAAATGTAGCTTTTCAACACTCACACTAACTGGTAAAAATTGATATTTTTGCTTAACTGTTGATACAGTGGGTACATCCTAGATGAAAAAAAAAAAAATCTTATTTCACACTCTAGACCAAAAAAAGGTTACTTCAATTAAAAAAAAAAAACGTAGCAATTTAATTCAGCACTCAGAACACATTCAGGGGCAGCAGTGTATGACATTACCGTTGCTATCGGCCCATCAACATGATAGTCCAAGCTGAAGACATCCCATCCAGTGTCCCCAGGAGATACCTGCATTAAAAAGATATGGTCCTGTCAGTGTATAATCAGAGCACACCAAAGCTGAAGATGAGCATTACTTGCTTTCTCTTTCATGAAGGGCCTATGAGCAAACAAACATCCACATCAACAAGACATACAGGAGTTTCTTGTTGAAAGTAGCAGATTAGGCAAAAATGGATCAAACCGTTTGATACAAGGGTGAGACTGATCTCACACAAATACTGATGTTTGCAATGTCAGTGTTTCTCCACTGAACCTAGTAAGGAAAATACCAGTAAGGACAAATTTCTTTGGCATCTGAAATCTGAGACAGATTTATTTCAGATGCTACAGCTCACTAAGTCTAATCTCAGGGACTGAAGCTTTCAAATTAACTCAAGTTTCTTACCACAGGCCTCTTCCATGAAATGTGCTTTCACTGCTTCTTTTTTTTAACTAGAGGCAAGAAGGAGGCAGACACCCCAACCTGCCCCTTCCTGCCCCAATTCTTGTAAGAGCAACAGCATTAAGAGCTATTTGGAGAACCTCAAATCAGCACCACCAGCACCAATTTGTGTTAGGCCCCAAATACTCAGCCTTGTATTGCCAGTGGCTGTAAACCCACATCTTGAAATACAAATAGACAATAGACAGAGAAAGAAAAAAGACGGCAACTTATTAAATTACCTTTATATTACTCAAAGTACACTTCAGTGCGAAGGAAGGGCGGGGGGAAATGTATTCACATATGAAAATTTTCATATAGATGTCTGCATGTATACACACAAACAAAGGTATGTTTCAGATCAGTCACCATGATGCAACAGACCTCCAGAAGTCGAACATCCAATCGCTTGAGAATCTCAGGATTATCGAACTGGGCATTCGTGGCCCTCACCGCCGTTTCCAGGATTCCAGTTAGATTATGCTGATACAAGGTTGTAGCTGGTCGTGCAAGCTCTGGCCTGGTGGTTATGGAACAGTCACAGCACATTACTGAAATACTCTGCAGCAGCAATTCAGTAGTAACTGCAGCACACAGCAAAACCCTTTTCTAACCAACTTTCAAAACTATTACTCTTTCAGACTTAATGATGAAGAAAATCAGTGAGCAAAATATTTGCACAGAGTATGAGCAGAATATGTCTATTCATATGCAGCTATCCTCCTGAATATTAGCATGAGGAGCAACTTAAACCTCATTTAATGCCAGTAATTTGAAGTTACCAGGATTGCTAGTTTAGCTAGTCTGTAATTTGAGTTGCATTCAGATCTTAAATGAGGCAGATTACAACATTAGCACATCAAACCAGTGATTTCATTTCAGTTTTGAGAAACTTACTGATAGCCATCTCACAGGCTCAGAAGTGCTGGCAGGAACACAGAAACCCACCCAATCTACATAACTTCAATTTTCCAAAGAGTTGCAACATGCAACTCTTGTAATACCTCTCTGTCCCTCAGAAAGGAGAAGACTGGAAAATTTCTCACTCCTTCTGCCTCAAATGTAATACTGACTCCACAAATCAACCTCACTCAGGTTCACATTAGAAAGTGTGGTCATGTACTGTTGATTTTTATTTACAAACAAGTTAATGAAAGCTTTATTAAAAAGCCTGTCCTCTAAATCAAAGAAAAGCTTTGCAAGCCAATGCTTCTGATTGAAGAAGTTTCATCTGTAGCACCAGCATGTAAAAGTGAACTTGCAAATACTCTTTAAGAACTGGATTCAGTAGTTGTGAGTGCACCTGAGTGCTTGAAACAGAAGCTGGTGAGGAACCAAAAAGATTTTTAAAATTGAAGGGTTTTCACACAATGTTTTACACCAAACACCTCCAAAATATAGAGGCCTAATAATTCCAGCCAAGCTAACCAGTAGCATCAAGAGCAGAATGTTTCTGCTTAAACTTGCTGACAGGACCAAGAGAAGTGCCAACACCTTCGAGGCTGTCACAGGGCCAACAAAGATATCTTTATCAGTACAACTTTTCAAGATTTATCAAATGGTGCTGTATGTACCACTCATCAGAAAGGAAGAAAAGTTTTAATCTTCAGGGCCAAAGAAATTAAGCCCAAAATAGAATTTAAAAGTTATTACTCAAAGATTTCATTGAACAAGGTACTTAGAGAGTCCTCTTCAAAAAGCAAAACCGTTTCTGTGCTGATCATGCACAGAATCATCAGAAATTCAACATAATTACCCTTCCTATTTTCTTACTTGAGCAAGTCCATTAAATGCCTGATAAAGTCTCCTTGACCAAGTAACAAGTAGCGCCTCATGGCCTGCATGTGCTCCAGCAAATTGTACTTCTTATTGAGAACATCCAGCAGGTATTTGCTGGTTTCAAAATAAGCTGCATCAATTTTCTCTTGAAATGCATTTTCCAGATCTGTGAACAAATCAGCAGCTAAAAGAAAATAAAAATTAAAATTAAATTAGTAGTTTTCAAAAACTGAGGCAAACAAGCTTTGGAGTTGCAACACACAAACAGAAAAACTGCCATTTCTTCTGATCCACTGTGTTATACATTTGCCATAGCCAAAGCAAAAGCAAGTCTAAAGCAGTGTACACTTCAACAATATTACTTTTAATCTGTGCCCAGATTGTACTTGCCGGGAGAAGCTCATGTTATATATATAAAAAGTTGGGGATTTTCAAACTTGCTGAAATACTGAAGTTTACAAATCAAATAATTTATCCAGTCCTAAAAGCCCAGAATTAGGAAAAACCTTTCATGGGCAGAATCTAAATCAGAAGGCACTTCTAAGGGTGTGGGGGAAAATAAACAAAACAATCAGACTGTTAAAACACTCAACAGAAGAGAGTTTCCATACATAAGAGAATGAGAGAATATGCTGAAGTTACCTGGGGAACAGCCAGCAACCTGACATTTTCTCTCCATCTTTCATGCATGGCAGTTTGGGGACAGAAAGCAGCAGAAAGTTGTAGGAAGCTTATTTCACTGTTTTCTACAACTACAAGCTCATCAAGAAAGGGACTCCAGTAAAACTGTTATGAGATAGCAAGAACTGTGGCCTCATCAGGCAACATGGAGCAATACTCCAAATACTGGATTGCCAACTATCACAAGATTCAGACCTTCTTCAGCATTAAAGGATATACTCCCACTCTAACTACTCAATTAATAAAATGCTTATGAATAGAAGAAATAAGCAGTGGCTCTAATAAAGAAAACACTCTTTAAGAAGGGAAGTCTAAAAGGCTGGCTCACTGACATTCCTGGAAATTTCCAAACTATCATTCAGTAACCAGTGAAACTCTCCATAAGACACAAAAAGTTCAAGAGATGTCAAAGAAATGACACTTTTATAATACATTACTGTGTTTAAAGTCCCTCGACTAGAGAAATACTACTTAGTCAAGTAACACACATCAACCTTAGGGATGTGAGAATTAATACAACCTGCAGTAAGTGCAAGTGTTTTTCCTCAAGATGTTGCGAGCCCTGCAGGCAAAACAAGTGAGGGAACAAGCCAGAAAGAGTTACCAGATGATCTCTTCAGCCCCTGGACACAGAGGCTGGGCCTAGCACTGGCACAAGCAAAGCCAGCAGGCAGCAGGCAACTCCCTGGCTTGTCTATAGCCAGCCCAACGTGTCAGGCATGCTGATCCCTTGTCCACTTACACAGGGGGTGTGTGTGTCTAAGCAGTAGCTCTGAGAGACACACACCAGTCTCAACTTCCTACTATCTCAAGCAGAAAAAGCAGTCTTTCCCCTCTCCTTAAAAACTCTTGCCTCTTGCCTTGAGGTAAGTGACCTGGCCACAGCCCTTTACCGGAGACTGGAAAGTCAAGTTTACACCTGTAGCCGTAATGCACCACCTCTGCATACACACAGCCCCCAGCACAGGCAAAACACAGCATTCCTGTCTGACACGCAAAACTGCTGAAAAGGTTGTTTACATCAAACACAAGGCTTAGGCACAAATTTTGAAAACTGTGCAAAATGATCTCGGAACAGTGAGGAGCCAGAAGGGGATAGAGAAAGGGTCAGACTAAAAGCACTGACAGGCAGGTCCATGAGCTGCTACTGAATAGTGAGTGTCATTCCTGGTCCAGAAGTCCCCAAACAACAGACAGCTACATGTCAGAGCTGCCAAACCCATGAAATGTTCAGATTTAAAATGAGAAAAAGCATCCAGAATGCAGGCTGGCATCTTAGCTTTCCATGATCTTAATAAGTAATCATCTAAAGGGAACTTTCAGGACACTGTTAGATGGCACAAACAAGCACAAAAGGAAGCATTTCCAACATCCCTGACATAGAATGTTCTCTCAGGATTAAATGGGTAAAATGCCCTAAACACAAATGCAGTTTCATGCAGAATTAAAGCAATGCAATACCATGAGGTATTAGGCTGCCAACCATAAGCTCAGCACACCTTCAGCACACTGCAGATGGAGTAATATATTTCTGAAACTACACATCTGTCTCAAACAGTTATTCTCAGCACTTAGGATAATGTAGGTGTGCTTTGAAGCTCTCATCCCTCATATAATAGGAAACCTGTATTTGTGCAGATCTTCCATTCAATCAAGGACAGAGAGAAACAAGTGCAAATTTAAAGAAATATTGGAAAAGCATGGCCATAAATGCTGTATAAAGTGGTGAAAGTAGTGCAGCCAAAGAATGGTTTTTTCCGTTTTTTCCAGCAGTAGCTGGCAAGACGATTGTTCAAATGCATTTATAGCCCTTATCCACTTAACCCTGACCCCTTTCTGCACTTTAGGCTTATCTTTGACTAAGCAAGCACTAAACATGGCACAAAAAAAATCACACTATTAGAAGACATATTCTTCCAGATATGAATGGGATTTTATCACTAGAACATTTTTCATGGAGGTACTCATGCCAGAAGTCCACACTTGTGAAGAGTTAATATTAAAACTAACCCAAGGTTATTTGGCATATTTTTATAAAAAACCCTAAGAAATCTAAACCTAACAACCCTACATACACAAGTTTTAAAGTTATAGATAAGTAATATTATAAAATGTTAAAAGTATGTTCTTTGAAAAAAAGAATTTGACAGAAAAATAGATTAGCATCAGAAAACTCATCCCAGTGAGCTATATCTCAACAGTCAGACTATCTTTGGTATATCAAACAAGTTATCAAAAGAAGTTACAGTAGCAAAAGACCACTTCCACCAGAAGGCAGCAATCTGTTCTTTCTCCGAGATGTAGCAGCATCCTACATATTCTTTGCTTAGTATTTAGACATGAAGTCTCCTTGGTTTAGATGTTTAATATTTGCTACCTTCCATCATAAAAATGTTGACTTCATTGCAACAAATATGCCTCCAAAAAATAACCACAAACAGCATAGAAGTTCTCAGTCAATAAAACTGAGATCTATTCTAAACAAAATTATCTGAAGGAATTTAACAGTTAAGTTTTGGTTCCATGTTCATCAGCTGGCAATCCCATTTTTAAGTAATCTTCAAAAATAATTTTACAAACCTTCCACATACTTATTTTTGACATATTAATATAGTGCATTTACAGAAAGGCTAGAAAGGTTTCTGTTCTGTTTTTACTGCTTATTCCATTATTTACAGCTAACTGAGTATTTTTATTTTTCAACCACAAAATGAACCCAGTATTATGGAATTGTATGATGGAGTGTATTTGATGAGAAATCAAACATAGTAAATTCTTATTGCAGCACTCAAGAATATCCCTGCTCCCACCCCAGCCAAGGCAGGTAAAGGCAAACCGTTTTTTGACTGGTTTCATTCACAAATTCAGTACATTAACAATCACACAGCAAACCTATCAAATTAAGAAAATTATACACATGCATCAACATACATCTTTTGTAAAAAACAAGTATACATTAAATTATCTATACCTTAGGGCAGATAGAATTTTTGTACTCCTTTCCACTCCACCACCCAGCTTACAGTCTAAACGACACATAGTACAGGAGGTCAGTTCAAAGGGGAGATACTGAATAATATTAATACTGTACCATCTTTTGAAGACTCTGCAGATTTTGCAACAGCAATCATCTTTGTGGATGGAGTTTGGTCATGACAAACTTGATGCAAGAAGTTTATAGATTTTCCTATTAAAAGGACCTGAACAAAACAGGATTTTTTAAAAAAAGTATTTGCTTATAAGAAAAAAAAAAAAACCCCAAAAACAACCAAACAAAGAAGCCACCCACAACCACCAGGACAAGATATTTTGTCATATTTCTGTGCTCTTAGTTGCACAATCCCAACCACAGCAATCCAGAACAGCAATGCTAATATGAAAATGTTTTAAACACATTTCAAAACTTCTTTTCCCTCTACTTGAGATCTCCTCCAAGTTTAACAGTTAGAAAATGGAAAGGAGAAACCGTCCTATAGCCTTCCTCAGCAAACAATTTTAAAATTCTTGAGAAGATTATTTTTTGTTACATTTGGCCTCTATTTTCTCAACAGAAATCTAAGCAGCAGCACAGGGCAAACAAATCACCAGAAGACGGACTTTTAGATTCATACCTTTTTTGACTGCTCCATTGTAATAAAAGATGGGATCATTGATTTCCTCAAAGTGTATTTGTCATGCCACAACCGATCAGTTTTAACTGTAGGATCTGAAGCTACAAAAAACTGAAGATTGAAATAAATATTTAAAGCAAAAGATTAATGTAAACTCTAACCTATAATTTCACCTATTATTCCTCCTATTTTAACAGATGCAGACGGGGGAAAAAAACCCACAAGAAAAGCAAAAACCCCCAAATTGATATGGTGATCAAATGTTACAGTCTCTCAACTCCACACAAGAAAATCCCCTCATTTGTAAAAAACTACAACTACTTTATTACTTTTGTTGAAGTGAAGTTTGGTGGATTATGTCCTCATCTTGTCAAACAATATACCCATTTTCTGGAAGTGAACTTTTTTCACTGCCTCCAAATACCATTTTCCCCAAGAATGGTCAATTGTCTTTGTTCAAAATTGTCTATTATATGAAAATTACAGTTTTCAGTACAACACATCCAACAATAATTTTCAATATTAAGAACACCTTCCAGTGCACATGCAGAGGTTAGAGCTAACAAATTACATAAAATACAAAAAGACAAAACTTCATATCTGTGGAGAATATGGGGGAAAAAAAAGTCTAATTTATACTTCTAAAAACAGATTCATATACATTTTACACAATTCTGACCTTAAAGACCAGCTGTCCCTGTCACTCACTTAAATTTTGCCCAAAACAAGGACATTTCAAGAAAACAGATAGCATATTTGACTCTCAAGTAAAATTACTCAGATTTGTCTCAGAAGTGCTCAACTAATTTAAAAAAATTATTCTTTGGCTTCTTGTAACAAAAAAAAAGAAAAAAAAAAGAAAAAAAGCTAATCACTTTAAAAAGACTGTACTGACTTGAGATAGGAAAGCGTTGAGAGAATTTAAAAAAAGCAGAAAAAATATTTCCAAGAAGAAAAAGGACAATTACTGGAACTTGATGTTACAGAAGTCACAACAAATAAATTTGCCGAGTTTCAATTCTGGAACTATAAACCTCTTCTACCCAATCTGACAGACTGAACTTATTTATTGAGGATAACAGTATGCAGTCAGAGAAAAATAGTCTGAGCCTAATTCCAAATACAAGGCTTGCATTCTGAACAGTTACAAAGAACTCTGCATACATTACTGGTGTTACAGTAATCAAGAAAAGATATAGAGGAATTATTTTGTCTCCAGAAACAAGGACCTACTGTCAGTACGCCATTCTGACTCCACTAACCAGACCCAGCATATGATTAGTTGAAGACAACACATTGCAACTTGCAGATATCAAATCCATGAAGAATTCATTAAGAGAGTGATATTTCAGGTTGTTATTGGATGTATTGGTTACTCATGTTATGCATTTTCATCACACTCTACTTTTCAACTTCTCCTCTAAGCTTCCCACAGATTGTCACACCACAATGCAAAGAGATGAAGTAGTTACTGCAGCATATACATTACCTCATGGTATGTATCCTCCAGCTCTCCATCATAAATCCAGCGATAGAGGAAGTTCAGTACAGGATGGGATACTAGGCCAAGAATGTGCTGAACCAGAGATCTCATGTAGGGATCTCCTGTTTTAGTATAGGCATGAACTGCTGAGGCTAGTTCACCACCTTTTCTCCCTGTAGGAAGAAAGGAAGAGGAACAGAAACATTTGAAGGAAAACCTAATGCACCCCATTTAAATTTAGCAGCCACTGATTTTAGCTACCCCTGTGTCCCACAGAGCTTGCTAAACAGCAACTCTAAAATGTAGCAAAAGTAGATTTATTTTTTTTTATTGCTAACAGGGAATTCCTAGGTTTTAAGGCATGAATTATTAATCTCACTAAAGCATTAAGCAGAGTTCTCTGTCTACTTTATGGCAGCTTAGAGGAATGCAAAATTTAAGGCATCAGATCACACACACAAGTTGATGTCATGCTTCCAGAGAAGCATTAAAGGAGCCTTAGAAATGTTTTCCTTCTCTCCTGTACTTGACACTCTCAGATATTCTGCATGCACACATGAACACAAACACAGTTTTCATGTTTCTTGGTTATAGTTGCCCTCATAGCCCCGTTAGGGAATATCTCCTGTCTTCTTGCAATTGTAAAGTAAGAGGCTGTCAAAAAAAAAGAGTTAAAAAATAGATTGAATATTTCATTTTGCTGCTATGCTCCACAGCTTACCACTTCCTTGTGGCAGAGGCCATGCAACTCAAAATTTTTACGAATGCCTTAAAAGTAAAGCCCATTTAAAAAAAATTTGCTACGATTCCAATAATTAAGGTAAAGCAAGCACTGTAGGTTTTTTTGGTTTTTTTTTTTTTTTTTTGGCTAAGATGTCCTTTCTAAAGGGCTACAATCTCAGAAATCTGAAGTACCATCAGGGAGAGGCATCAATTACTGGTCAGCTCAGTCAGCTACTGGCCACAGTTCTGCTAAACTCCAACATGACTCTGCCTAGCACTTTCTTGTGGATTGCCAACAAAATCATGATATTTGCAGATTTGCAAAGCTTTGTTGTTTCACATGAGTCTGAAGACAAGTTACTGATGACTCCTCTATGCCATCGAATACAGAGAAATTGCATAATACTCATATGTAGTGAAGAAACTCAGTCAAGCATTTCATAACATATTAGTAGGGTTTTTTCAGTGTACCATTCTCTGAAAAATGATTAAATAACTGAAAATAGCATAAAAAGTGCATGCCTAAAATTGAAATTTTTGAGCACATTCTAGTTTCAAAAAATAAGAAGTCTGAATGTATCAACACAGCACTATAATTTGTCATGCTTTGTTTAAATTAAAAGAGGGAGAATCTGAACTACCTACTTGGAATTTTCTAAAAAAAAAGTCAAAAAAACCCGTAATATTATTGATACCCACCTCTAACATGCATAATTACTCAAAGTTATATAACATCCCCAGAAATATTAAATTAATGTTAAACAGACCTTGACAGTGATCAACAAGTGCTGCAAGAGTCTTTAACCTTATTTTGGGGTCATATGTCCAGACCAGAAGACGGCGAAGTGTTAAACTGCTCTCAAGTCCCAAATTCACGCCCTGGTCATCTTCCAGTTGTAACTGATTAAGTTAGAAACAGAAAAACATGTCAAAGAACAAAACTGAGGCAGAACTCAGGTTTCATAATCTGAAGTCAGATTTTCACTAATACACTTGAAATACCCAGTGTTATGTATTCTCTCATCAAATCACTGGGACAAAACCTGAGAGTCAGTCTTTAGTGGAAACAGGCTTGAGCAAAGGTGAAAGAACAGAGACAAGCGTAAGCACAATGACTTAGACAAAGCACAAAGACCAAGAAAGTTACAGACAGCAAGGAAATAGTCAGGAAAAGAAAGAAGTGCAAAAGAAGAGAGAAGAGATCCTGAAAGACAGTCTTGACAAAGAGTAAAGAAAAACATCTAAAGGACAGGCAGGCTGTGGGAGGTAAACTTTTTATTACTGCACATGCAGATTATTTTAGTTCCACATGTGACAAATTCCATTCAACGTCTTCCTCCAGAAGCCATCAGAACTTAAGTTAGCCTTATAGTGAGATTAAGGAATTGCTACAATGAAAGAAAAACACTAAACTTTAAAAGCTACAATAAGAAAACTCTATCATAATGTGATTACCATGAATCTCCCAACACTATGGAAAATAAATGCCAAGTATTTGCATCCAACGTGCAAATGCAAATCTTATACAAGTACAGATGGAATAAGCAGGACAAGAACACAAGAATACAGAAGCAAGTTCCTGGAGCAGAACAAGGAGACAATCTCTTAGAAAATATGCTGTTTCTGATATATGACAAACAACCCATTCTTTTCTTTCCCATCTAGCACCTTTTCTTAGCCAAATCCAACATCCCGGGTAAATTTAAGACTAGTGTCATCCACATTAAGTTCAGCCTTAGAGCCAGTTAAATTAATTTGCTTCTGAATTCTCCTGGGTCCATGCCTGGGATTTTTCTTTGGTGTTTTTGAAAATCAGCAATGACAAGAGAGATCATGAGCCACCCTTTGACTTTAGGGAAGACATGGTACATCTTCATCATGGAACTGCATTTTTAAATGGGCTGACAATGTGAAAACAACCTGCAAGAAAAAGACCAGAGACGCTTATGGAATAGTAGACAGTGTGCTCAGGATTACTCATTTAAGGGCAGAAACATGCTCAGGAGAAGTTCTGAAGACATAATAAAATATTATAAAGAGAGTACAGAATCCTTTGACAAGATTCTTGTTGTTCTATGCCTGTACTGCTCTCTAGAATAGCAGTTAACAACTCCTAAGCTGGCAGCCTGTACAATCTCCTGAATCAAAAAATGTCACATACTCAATTTCCAGTCAACTTTCTACATGCTTTCAAGAAGCTAAAAGGTACAGGATTTTTGTCCATTCTGCAGTGTGACCTTCAAGCCCTTCCACTTTTCACAAAAGAAGTCACAAAAGAATCTCTCTCCTCCACTGCTGGATCTCCTTCCTTTCTTTCGTGTCTTTGGGAAGGAATGCTGCCAGAAGCTTCTGAAAATGCAGACATAACATGACTCTGGGAACCCTTTCAGTTAGGTGCTGAGGGACCTAGATTCCCCAGAAACTCTGGTCTGCTGCTGCACAAAGCATTGCTGACACCGTACTGACTGTTCCCTATGAAAAGGCATTTAATCAACATGCTCAATGCACTCATGAACTCTAACACTGAAGATGAATCTGGCAAGGAGCATGAAGAGTAACAATAAGAACAGCAGTAAGACTAGGAAAAATGTGTCCAACTACTGAATGACGCTTCATGAGGGGTGACACAAAAAATGGAAAATGCTGAGGTACTTAATGCCTTTTTTGCCTTGGTAGCTCAGTAAGATCTGCTGCTGGGGATACAGATGTTGAGATAAGAAGAGAGAGAAGTCTGGAACAAGGAAGACTGAGTTCAGAAGGATCAGGCTAGGGTACACCAAACAAATGGGATATGCTTAAGTCTATGGGACCTGATGGGATGCACCAAGTGTTGAAGAAAGGAGTTGGTCAATGTCACTGCAAGGCCACTTTCCCTTATTTTTGCAACACAGCAATTGGAGGAGGTTTCTGATGACAGTGAGAAGGCAAATGTCATGCCTCCGCTCAAGAAGAAGCCATAAAACTACACACCAGTGAGACTCACTTCATTCCTTGGGATATCAACTAACTGAAAAACGAAGCTTATGGAGGACAAAAAGCTTTCTCAGGAAAAAAAGCTCAGGGAAAGGAGAAGGAAATAGGAACATTTGTGGTGATGAAGTCCATCTTCCCAAGCAAGTGTTAAGTGTCCTGAGGTCCTGCTTGCCAGGAGCAGCTGGACATCTGCCTGCTGAAGGAAGTGAATGAATTCCCTACTTGGCTTTGCTTCCACGCACAGCTTTTGCTTCCCCTTCTAAACTCACTAACTTGACTGACTTGTCTTTTTGTTTTCCTTCTATTTTCTCCCCGTTCCTCAAGAGACAGGGGGAAACAAGAGGCTGGGTGGGTGCCTGGCTGCTGTCCAGGGTCAACCCCCCAAAAAGGCAAATGCAGTTTGAAAATAAGTAACCCCAGAACTTTTGTCTTTTCCTTACAGGCTTTCCCTCCCACCCTACTCATCTCTTTTTTTGAAATGTTTGGTGGGGCAGGAAAGGTAGACAAAACTACATCTCAAAGTAGTTGACCACTTTCATGGTCAAGAAGTTTTAGAAGTTAGGGAAAAAAAAAAAATCAAAGCGTCAGCAAACCAAGAGAGAAAACACATTTTGGACAGAGCAAGAAGCAATTACAAAAGGAATAACTGGATAATAACCAGGAAAAACAAGCAAAAAATATTTATAACAAGCATTTCAAAAGTCAAGAATGTTCAAGAACTGTGAACTAAAAGGAACAGATGCTTTGAAAACATTAACAAAAGCCTATGACAAACTATAATTATTTTATTAAAGTTAAAATTTTAAAAGGCAGTATAATTTAGCTTGGGGTCAATTCTCAGAATAAATTTTTCACCATTACAAGTAATGAACCCTTTGAAGCACCTTTTAAAAAAGGCAACCAGCAGAAGGTTTATTTTACTTATGTTTTAGAGACATCTAGATGCACATACCTACAAACATTTGTGGAAAAACTGCAAGATTATCAGCACTAAGTTGGTCTATATGTTACAGAAAAATAGTAAAACATTTAAACATCTGCAGAACAGATGTTTTTACTATCAGAAAACAAAGGGACAAGAAAAATGTACAGACTGCCCCACACAGGACAAAAGTTGGAACTGTTATTACTAGCTGCTAAATCATGCACTGCTGGAAATATGCACTGTTTTTTTTCTCCACTCAAGGATGCAGGACATTGTTTGGGATTTGAATGATAAAGACATTATGTAAGGTGAAACTGACAAAAAGGATGCAAAACAGGGACAGAGACTTAGAAACACACATTGTATTCCTTGCTTATGTAACACACCAAATACCAGTGAATTCTTAAGAGAAGAATATTCAAGGGCACATACATTTGAAGAACAAGAAATGTACAGAGAATTGTGTTCACTGTCAACAGAGACTCCTGTACATCCTTTACATTCTAACAAAACAGTAAGGTATTACCTTTTTAGGAGCCATTTAGATAAAATAGAACAAAATAGTGAAGTTGAATACGTACCACTTAACTTACCTGAGAATGTAAAACAGACAGAAGTCGGTAGTATTCTTTAAGTTCCTGATGTAAGGCTGCACAAAAACTCTGTAAGAGAAAGAAAGAAAAAAAAGGGAAAAAAAAAAAAAGAAAAGTAATCAGGAGGGATCTTTCTGATTTAATTCTACCACCACACTTCTAACACAATCAGAAATTTATTGAAGGGAATCTTTCTACAAGTTTCAGCATAAAAGCCAATTCTTAGAGAAATGGCCGAAGTGTCAGTGCTTCCCTAAGAGCTGCATGTACCTTTTCCAGGAATTTATACACATTAGCAAGCGACCTTGTTTCTTGCTACCTTAACTACCTTAACATATTAAACTATGAAAAGTGTAACTCTTCAAGTAGATATATCATCTCAGTAATGGCAATAATCATTAGCACAGGGATGTATAAATTATAACAAGACCCAGTTGAAGATTTTTTTAAATAATCATGTAAGATACAGTATGCAGTGAAGTAATAGAGTTTGAATTTCAGGAAGCCTTCTAACAACAGAGCACAAAAGTTAGGCAACTATCATTATATTTAGAGTATAGACTATATGACATGAATAAGAAAACACAATGTTCAAAAAATGCTCCAAATAAGTGCTGACAGATCAAGAACCATGACATTTTGACCTTTTATCAATTCACAGTTATATATGATTCTTCACTTGACATGGAAGAAATGAACAACACAAAGTATATCTTCAGAAATCTGTAAAATGTGCAGAAGTTAATTCAGGCTGGAGCTAAAGCAAAAACTCTTCCTTGTAAAACAATTCTAAGCACAGCACTTTAGGTTGTTTAAAAATCAAGATAAATTTTAAAAACAATTCTTGAAATAATACTTGTTTAGTGATAAATATTTTCCACAGTTCAGAATTGGGGGAAGTCCTGCTTTACTTCTGTAATGGTATTAACCTAACATACAGACTAAAAAAATGCCTGCAACACATTTTTCAAAACAGAACTAAAAATATGGCTCATTAATTTAGGAACAACTGATAAAGACTTTAAAACCCGCCAAAAAATGCCCCAAGATTTTTATTCGTTTGGTTTCTTCGAGAATACTCTCATGCACATACAAAAATTCTTCAGAACTTTCTAACCAATTCCCACCTAATGAATTTAATATCTATTTTGATGGATTTTTTTTTTAATGGGAAATTTCCCAGGATTTTCCCTTCAAGACCTTTTAAAATTACAATCAAAACAATTCGGAAAAAACTTAATAGAAATAATCCAAGAACTTAAAGTACTTATTCACTAGAGTATGTAAAAGGCAGAAATAATTTCTAGAAGCACAAAGGGAAAATAAATCATCTTTCCTGCTAAGCAGTTAAGAAGCCTAGGAAAAAAAAAGTCATTAATCTTGCAATTGTATCTTTTTTAAGGAAAGGAGGTTCCTTTCTTCAACTCAACATTGTAAATTGCAAAGAAATTTGACATTCGTTTTATTCCAGAGGATACTGAAGGGCAAAAAGAAATCCCTTTATGTGTAACTCCACTTTTCATTTCTTCTCACTTGCTTCTCCAGGAATTTTTTGAAGCTGGCAGTTGCCAAGATAGAGGGCAGAGCAGAGCCTCTAAGAAAACAATCAAAGGCACTGTTCTGCTCAAAAAGAAGAACAGCAATCACTGACTTTAATGATTTAGTAGCCAAAAGGATTTAGACTCTAACTGGTCACCAATTTTTCAGAGAAGCTTTACAAATTAAAATTTACATCCAGTACCAATTCCTGTATCACAAACCACAGACTTTTGCTTCCCAAACTGTTACAGAAAAACTGGACATTACCCTAGAATTCTGATTTGGTCTGCTGTGAAAGAGAATTGAGGAAGGAAACAGAACGCTTGCTCAAGAGAAAAAAATTAAAATGCTCATTAACTCAACTGGATCTCAACTCAAACGGGCAAAATGCCAAAGTACAAGCTAAAATATAGTTAAATGCCAATTATTCTTTTTGTTTTATGAGGACAAAGTAAAACTTAGATATTAATCAGCAAAGGTAAGAAAATATGAAGTGTAATATATTGTTATGTCTTCACTTCTAATGTAGAGACATAGTAACCTGATATTTTGTGTGGTAAAACCAGTCACCAGAATAATAATAAAAGAGGTGACAGATGGCTTATTCTACACCTAGTTTACACAATCATTCTTTCAGAACATTAAGTGAAAGATGTTTTATATCACTATGCACTGTTGTGCTAAATTCCTTAATGCAGTGTGCAGCACCTGAAATTCTCAGCTATAAAAGCTATGACGAGCATGAAGACATACTCTCTGTGCCCAGATACTGACAGCAAGAGTAGAATATAGCTTTTATTTCTACACTTATGTCCTAGAAATATACAAAAGTGTTTGCCTCAAGTAAAATTAGCAGCATTAGAGCTATTCAGGTAACTTAACTGCACAGCCTTCTGCACAGGATCAGAAACCTGCATACAGAAGCCAAGATACTGTACATTTAAATTCACTGAAGAATTAAAGTTCTCCCCTTTCTTTAAACTTGAAGATTAAAGCCAGACAGTAAAAATAATCACAAGCAGGAAGCTGCTAGATAAAGAATAAAACTTCACCCAGATATAAGGGGGAGAGTCCACAGAAAATGCATACACAGTAGCACTGCCATATAAAACATGGAAATCAGCATTGGATCAGTAGAAAAATAATTATTTATATGTAACTAGACGGGTTACTTAGAATAAGAGACAGAATGGAACAGAATAAAACATTAGAAAAGTAGGAAGCACTACAGTGTCTCTACTGACCTCTTAAGAAAAATTAGATTGAAGGGAGAAGCACTTCAATTTCTTGGCAGATTAGGTAGGATGTTATGGCTAGAGGCAAGGATAACATTTCTGTCGACTCAGAAGGGATAATATCCAGTTTTACAGAGGGAGCAAGTGAGAGGAAACGGGAATGTCTTAGCAGTAAATGTGGTTTTGGGTATTACAGCAGCAGTGAAGTTACTGTAGACTATAAATCATGATGATGAAACCTATGAAAACAAAAATTAATATTCTTTTGATGCTGTATTCAAAAGAAAGGGCAGAAGATAATGGACTACTTGCATTTTATGTAAGCTAGTGCAGTACTAACACATGAACATCAACAATAGCTGACAAGAATGTCTCCTGCACAGGTCACTAATAACTGAATTGTGATTAATTACCTCAGGGATGACATTACCATTTAGGAAATGTTTTTCTTTATGAACATGCATGAATAATTTTAAAAGATTGTTGTTTTTTTTTTTTTAATGGATATTAAGAACAGGAATTTATGAGAGTTTCCAGCTACAAATTACAGGGGCAAATCCTTATGACCAAAAAGGGCAAATACCTTTGCCTTCTAACTATGACCCATATCAAATGCAGCATCCACAAAAGGAGTAAATCAAATGATGAATGATTCAAGCTCAAAAGTTTATGCATCATTCTAGCACTATTTTCTCAGTAGTTTCTTAGCCAAACAAGATCAAACAATGTAGTTAGACTGTTTCATCTAGCTGACCCACCTGTCCCACCAGTCCAAATGCACGATCCAAACTCCTCTGGTCTGTATATTTTCTTATTTTGTTATGTAGCCACCCCAACTCTGCAAGTCTGCTTGTAGTATCTCGGAGAGATTTCGACAAGCTCACCTATAAAATTTAACAGAAACAAGTCTGAAATTAAGTCAAATCTGCCATGCCAATACTGGTTTCTTCACAAAGATCACCCTTTCTGATAAAAAAGCCAGTGTCAGAAACAATTCATTTTACATTCTACAGTACAGATACTGCAGAAAAGCAGACAACCACATAATTAGAATTATATTTATATAAAATAAATTATTATATATTTATAAAATATAACACACATGCATTGAAAAGGCAGCAGCAACAAACTACTGACACAGCAACAAACTTTGAGACCTTCTCTTTTGGAAATATTAATGTAACAGTATTCATACACTCTTTTTACATTAGGCAATTATGGCAATAACAAAATGGTCTTCAGAAAAAAGGAAGAAATCTGCATTTTCATGTTGCAATATTGGACTCTAACTTATCCTGACAATCAGCAAGACTGAAAAGATGAGAGTTGTAGCAGAGGTGTTAATGACTGAAACTAATGAAAAAGCTTTGACAAAATAATTAGTAATTGCTATATGTGAAAGAAACCTTCAATAGAAAATAAATAACCCAATGCCTGACTAGGCATCAGGAACACAAACTTGTAGAACCAACTTCCAAGATTAAGTCCAGATTTTATAAGTTATTTAATTATATGTCCTTCTGAACTCTTTTAGTCTGTTTCTGGTTTTCTTCTAGTATCTCACTCACCTTGCAAGCCTGCCTTAGTCCCAACACCCCATTTAGCTACCACTACTATTTTCATCTGAATCAGCACATTTCTTCCTCTAAATTAAACAGATAATACACTTCCTACTTGAGATTTTCTTCTTTCACATTTCACCATATTACTCAAGAACACTAGCATCAAGCATTCAAAATTTCATTGCATAAGAAACCCCAAACAATCTGACTGATAACACAGACCACAAGACAGAGACTGACTTCTGCCCACTTCTGCAACTGGGCCTATCCCATCTCTACAGACGATACTTTAACTTTGACGGCAAGCTGGAACAGTCAAAACCAAAGCAAGGAATTGTTCCAAGAAGTTAAGCTGCCAAAGAACTAGAAATCAATCCCCTTCATTAAACCTTTTAGTTAACAGTACAGGCATTCTCCAAGATAACAATTAGTGTCAGAGTGTGTTATCCACACCAGTGTGGTCTTGAAACAGGCTGCAGCACTTGGTTGTAAGACCAGAGTTCAGTCCCTAGCCCTCTTGTTTACCCACAGAGGTACAGCTTTAACTTCTTGAACAACTTCTGTAGGGTAAATTCCAGCCCAAACAAGCATAATTGGACACAGAAACCCTGCCTACAGCTAAAACCAAAGAGATGACAACAGAACTATTTAAAATTCTACAAGTACAGAGTACTTGGCAAACATTGAGTACAATACACATCCACTGGAATTAAATGAGGAACAAGCAAAATTGGCTTGGTGTTATTACATTTGTATGTCTTAGATCAACTCAGAAACTGCCATCTTATACAGTGCTGAATGTCACCACCAGACCTAATATTAACACAAAGATTAGGAAATATTTCAGCAAGAATAGCACCTCAGAAAATGTGTTTCTTTCTGGGAAAAAAACACCAACAACCCACACTGTTTCAAGGAGACGGTCATCTGAGGAAGAACTACATGCTTTGACTACTATTTTGCCTAATATGCAGTCAATACAACTAGAGGAGGTATGATCTTGGTCCCCCTTGCTAGTCAGAAATTCCAGCTACAGCTCTGGTGGGTCAGATAATGCCACTTTCACCAGGTCCAGTAGCTCAGACCAAGTACAAGTAAGGAAGAATGGAAGATGACTGACTTCACAACAATAACTGAAGACAGTTCTCAGGCAAAGATTATTCAGCTGGCTTGTGGTCAGTAATTAAATTCCCTGAATTACAAGTTCCAAGTAAAACAGCTTCCGACCTCAAACCAGCCTACTGGATATGAAAGCTACACAGAAAACCAATGAAACCCATTGCCAATTTTGTAATCACTGACAAAGTTTTCTTCACATTCCTCTAGAAAAATATATTATGCTACCCTTCTTTTGCCATATATAATCTCATATATAGAATATAATTTACTCAATGAAGGTGCTGAGGAATTACAAACTTTGCATCATCTACAGGTGGATGTTTATAAGAATCTGTTAATTAAAAATAATTTAACAGGACTTAAGTTTTCCCATTTATTCCTCCATTAAGCAGACGTAAATGTCATTGTAAAGTGATGGTGAACACTACAACATTTCACTTTTTGTTACTATCATGAAGGAAGAAAGGACAATAGCTCAGTATCAACATTAAGACATGTCTACCGTGCTCATGGCACATGAAATGGCCCAAAAGTAATTTCCCCACCATTTAAGGACTATGTAATATTGTCATAGCAGAAAGTTTTTAATACAATTAAAAACTGAAAGTGTTGTCTTTCCATCTGAACAAGAATACCTTTCCATCTGAACAAGAAAACCTATTAGCAGAAACTGAACTCTAAAGCTGTACTGTCTAAATACTGAGTGTGAAGATGCTAAAGCAACCAGCACCATTTTTTGTTCTTTGGTCAGCTGACCCAATCACAGTCTTAGGGTTTTTCTGCATTGCCGATAGGCATAACATCTCACCACCTTAAAGCAAAGTCTCTCAGGCATCTCTCCTCTTCTTTTGTCCTCTATTCAAGGTCTTCAATCAAATTCACATCAGATCTTTGTTCAGTTCTACCACCAGTCCTTTCTTTTCTAGGTCATCTGCATCTGATCACTTATAACTGCAATCAGGCCCATAACATCAAGTGGCTAGCATCCATTCCATATCTCAAGCTGTTAAATTTAATTTAATAAGAATGCAGTAAAAGGCCTGCATCTGCTTTATGTTAATTCTTATACACTGAAGGGAAGAAATGTTGACAGAAGTCCTCAAAGTCATAATTTACAAGTCCTTCTACTGGATTAAGAGCTGGAAGACTATTCACATCTTGTGAAATGCTACATTTACTTTCTGGCACCTAATCTACCCAATAAATTTTCAACTACTAGTGTTGAAACTATTCTCTTGTATTAACAAAAAAACGCCCAAAAACAAAACAAACAAAACCAGCACAAAACAAAACAGCTCGTAGAGGGAATATAGACTTGTAATAATATTTTAACTTTTTTATATGTTTCTCACAGCTATTTTTCCCCTATATGTTTTTCTGTTCACACATGAAATACAAGACACCAATACAGTACCTTTCCCTCCACTTTATAGCAATTTTCAGAATTGCACATTTTGATGTTTTTTCCATCTATTCCCTGGAAGACATATAAAACATCTCTTACAAGATTTGCTTCTGTTATTTCAACAGAACCTAGAAAAGAAAAACCAAAAACAAAACAAGTATTTAGATTTGTTGAGACAATAAGTTTTGATTACAACTTTGAAGAACTATTTAGATGCATAGCCAAAAAAACCCAAAACTATAAAAACTATAAAGCCTGTGCTTGTAACTGGTAAAGAAATATTTTAGGTCCTCTTAGTCTGACAGGACAGCCCAAGATGGCCTTTACCTGCCTCTAATGCTACCTGTGGTTCTCTCAGAGCAGTCAGCTTGTATGGCACAGGGCATGTCCTATTTTAACTGACACATTGGCCTGTTCTTACACTTGGTTATCTCTTTTGATACAACACCAGTGCAAGTTCTGAGGAAAGCACCACAGTAACTTGATCTTTCTTTGAACAAACAGCTCAAGTTGTTAAACAGACTTATAGAATAACCTCTTCTACATTCACCTAGAAAAAGAACAGTTAATCCAGAAGGAAGAACTGCTTGTTTCATAACGGCTTTCAGTTACATATGCCACTGCTCAGTGAGAAGACTGATCAAATCAGACTGCATAACAGCCACAGAGCTTGAAAATATGTAAGTGTAAAGTTGCTTCTGGTTCTTACCTCGTCAGAGGTTAGATTGTGTGAGAGATGAAAGATATTTATGAGTTTAAAGGAAACATAAGATCAAAAAAGGCACTGTGTAGGCCACTGAAACTATCCCTACCTTTTCTGGGCAAACCGTCATCACTTGGTTTTGTAACTTCATTTAGGATTTCATGAACAATTGTTAAACCATTTTAACAACTATCCAGGAATTGAGATACTACAACATGCTTCTCCCAATTTAGACAGCACTCTTACTCTTGTCACTTTGCCTCCCCAACAATCCACTTTCCCAGAAAAAAAAAACCAAGAAAAATTAAATTCTACTCTTCTTTTAGCAAAAGCAGTCTTCACTTTTAGATACCATTTAAAATTCAGTCTCCCCCCCATAACAACAAGATGTGAACAGGTTGTCACTCTTAGGAACTTGTAGTGAAATGATGAAAGATTCAAGTGCACATTTATTTAATTGATAAATAATACAACAACTATTAACATCAGCCATACAGTGTGCCTTTTAATACTGTGTGAGGATGTAACAGTAAGAAAACTTCAAAATAAAAGCAAGCAACTTCAGGAGAAAAAAAATTAATTACAGGAATTTAATATTCATAGAAATGTATCATCTTGACAATGGACTTCTATATTCTGAATGCAGTCCTACTTCTATTTCTACACCAGCAAGTGACTACATTTATAAGACAACTGTCAGTCCTTATACCCATCCCACACAGGAATCAAAGTCACAGCTGCTGGCTGACTCAACAGAAGAAGTATTGCTTTTTATAGCAATCAGTATAATACATTAAGAGGCAGTGCTACATTTTATATGTTTTTCTTTTTTCTATGCTTTTTTCCACTCCTTTTTCTACTTTTTTCCTATTTTTGTATATATTAAATCTACCACATATATAAAACACATATTTACATTATATAGATATACACACACACATATCTTCTTGCATATGACAGTCTTGTTAATTAAGTTCTAAATGCCAAATAATGTCCTCAGACCAGTATAACTCTGATCTTTAAGTCACTGCTTTGTACACTGCTATTCAAAGATGCAGAGGCTGGCAGACAGGCTATATTTTAGTGCCTTAATATCCACACTTATATGTATGGAAGTTAAAAACAAACCAAAACAAAACACCACAAACAAAAGCCTGCATGTCTTATCTTCCTTTGTCAGAGAATAATGGTGCTATGGGATGACAACCTCTGCCATCAGCTAACTTACTCAGAACTTACTTATACAGTAAGAGTTGCCACAGTCGCCACAGAGATCACCTGTTAAACAATTCCTTCTTAGCTGCACTTGTGTAAATTCAGATGTCCTCTAGACATCAGCTTCAAGTTTACAGGCACTTAATCATGGACATAAATTAGGAATATTAGGAATTCAGGAAGAAATTCCTTACTGTGAGGGCTGATGAGGCACTGGAACAGGCTGCCCAGAGAAGTTGTGGATGTCCCATCCCTGAAGTGTTCAAGGATAGGCTGGATGGCTCTCTGAGCAACCTGGTCTAGTGGAAGGCGTCCCTGTCCACAGCAAGAGAGTTGGAAGAAGATGATCTTTAAGGTACCTTTCAACTCAAACCATTCTGTGATTTCATGAGTCTATTTTTTTTTTTTTTGACAACATTTTATGTCACTTGTTCTAAATACAACCACTGTAAACCGTATGCTAATCTAAAGAAGAAACGGGTTTAAGAGCTCTATATTCCAGTTCACATTTCCAAGTTCTGAAAGACACAGAACCACAAATAGATGAGTATTCCAACAAGTTCTGTTTACTGAGCTCTCTTTCTGACTCTAGAAACAGTAGCATCTTCTGATCATCAAAAGAATGATCATTGCTCACATGTCACTATCACTTAACTATGACAAACACTGGAATGAACTCAGTCTTTCAAGAGCACCAGATCACAATCCAACTAACCAGTGCAGAAAGAAATTAACAACCAGCCAAAGAGATTGTGGTCAAATATACTAGTCTTACATATTTGCTTCTATCCTTCTATTAAGTACATTCTAGAAAAACATTCTTGAAAAAATCAACATGCTATGATCCCAAAATAATTTTCAAGATAATGGAGGATACAGATAACAACCGTAAAAGACATTATCTTTAATGAATACATCTTTGCTCACCACTTGTGTCCCCTTCTCGCCTCGACCTTGGCACACCACGAGAGACAGCATTTGAAAAGCCTTTTGAGGTAGTGCTTTGTAAGGAAGGCTGGCTTGCAGTTAAAGTCCACGCAAGACGTGAACCTAGCTGCTGACGGAGGCAATCTCCAACACCCGGAGCTTGATAGGATTGTCTAAAAGGATAAAAAGAAGAAACACCTTTAAAAACTTTCATTCTATACCCGTTACACGGTGTGGAGTGATGCAAATTTTGAAAGATGCCCCTAGTTTGGGGTAGTGGTGGTTTAATAAAGGAACCTTAGAAAAGGGTAGAGAACACAAAAGAAATTTATTTTTTCCTGTAAGCCTACACTTTCAAAAAAGCCCCCTGTAGAAAAGGGAAGTATAAGTTTGACATACATGATTTCATATCAAAGATTAACTTTGAAGAAATGTGCAATTATACTGAAACAGGTTAAAAGTGAAGGTACTATAAAAATAATAAACATAGTCATAGTAGAAAAATCTAAACATTTAAGTTTTGTTATTAGCTGAAGTGTAGTTACATGTCAAAGAACTATTTCCAGCTACTCTACTCTTTCAGATAGTTTGTATCAAGTGCCTGAAGAGGTAATCAAGGAGGGACTATCCAGGCAAGTTCCAATTTCACTTCCTTTCAAACTTGTAATTGTTTCCACAAACAATAGTCTTAACCCTGAAAAAAATATCACATTGGCCAAGCTCCAGTTGTCCAGGACTCCCTGGTAAGCCAGGACTGATTAAATGACGGACAGCACCTTGGTGAGCCATCCAGTCCCACACACTTGTGAGCATCTAAGTAGGTCAGCAGGTCAGTAATTCCTCCTTCCTAGATTACAGTGGGTCCATTCTGCTCCCTGTCCACATCTACCAGCTCAGGAGGCCGCCTATCTTGAGAACAACCAGTCTCAGTGCTGAAGACTGAGCTCTGCTGAGTTCACCATTAGTAAGGCCTCAGAGTACAACACTGAATTTTGGCTGTCCAGAAGAAAAAAGAAAAACATGTACAAAGAGAAGCTCAGGAAGAATGAAACTCACAGAAAGATTTAATTTGGGTTGTTCAGCTCACAGACTACAGGACTAAAGAGAACAATGAAATTGCAATAAAATGGAACAGTATGAGCAGGTCAGAAGAAGAATATGCCAGAAAGAGGGTAGGTTCTGCTGATATTTTTAAGCAAGCAGATATAAGAAATAACCTCACTGACGTATCTTTCTATATTGTATCAGTATTATACAATGATTCAGGCTAGAAGTGACCTCTGGAGATCACCTCCTACAAGCTTTCTGATCAAAGCAGATCAGCTACAGAAGGCTAGCTGGTACATTGCTCAAGTCATATTTTTGATATTTTCAAGCATGGAGACTACACAATCTCTCTGGGCAACCCATTTCAGTGATTCACAATATGCCTCCACCCTTAAACATACATCCCCATCTCAATGCAAAAAGGTTTGGGTTTTTTTCCCTTTTGATTAACTGTGATTCAAAACTCACATATTTTGCCAGTTACCACTTGCTCTTTCCCTGACCCAAAACAGTCTAGCTCAGTCTCCTTATGCCCCTTGTCATACCATTACATAGGTAAGATCCCAAGAGTTTTCTTCTCCAGGCTGAAGAACTCCAGGTCTCACTCAGCTTCCCCTCATATGTCAGACGCTTCAACCCCTTAAATGGTTTTGGGCTTCACCTCCAGATTCCTCCTTCCAGCCTGCCTATATCTTCTCTTTGTACTATAACCAGACCCAGCATTTCAGATGTGTCCTCATCAGTACTGAGCAGTGAGAAGTTTTATTTGCCTCACCCTCCTGGTGATGTCTCTCATAACACAATCCAGGAGGCTCTTACCCTTCTTCACCACACACTGCACATTCATTTTCGACTTGGTGCCTACCAGGAATCCCAGGACATTTTCTGCAAAGCTGCTTTGCAATCAGTCAGCACACAGCATGTACTGGTGCATGGAGTTATTCTTTCCCAGGTACAGGACACGGAACTTCAGCAGACTCCTGTGAGCCTGTTTCTGGAGCCCACTGAGCTCCCTCTGAGAGACAGGTTAATGACCTCCTTTAAAAACCACTCCTCCCAGCTTTGTATCTTCTGCAAAATTGCCCAAGATTCACTCTATGTCATCAGGTGGGACGAAGGATGCAGATTCTGGTTATACCATTAAGGACTGGGTTCCAGCTGGACTTTGTGTCACTGATGATAATCCTTTTCAGTCTAGCAGGTTCAGTTCACCTCACTGTGACCTTACCTAGTCCATATTTTATTAAGTCTGTCAATAAGGTTGTCACAGGTAGACAGCATTAAAAGTCTCAGTAAGGTTGAAATAAGCAACCATTATTGCCTTCCCCTTGTTCATCAAGTCAGTCATCTCATCATAGAAGGTCGTAAGATTGGTAGGCATGCCTTTCTGAAGTCTATGCTAACTACTCCTAGTCCCGCCCTTCTTGTCCATCTGGACACGCTTTCCAGGGCAACAAAGACTTTCCCAAGGGTGTCAGTGTCCTGCTCTGACTTTACCACAGCACAAAGGCACAGCAAGCACCAAATACCTCAACTTTTTCCATATCTGCCACCTAAGTCCATGCCCCTTGAACGGGGGCCCATGTTTTTCTAGCCTTCCTTTACTGCTTACGTAGTTGCAGAAATATCTGCTGTTTCCCTTCATGCACCTTGACAGATTAAGCTCTAGGTTAGTTCAGGATTTCATTGCAGTCACTCTGCCCCTGGATGCTCCTTTGCACCTGGCCCTGCTGCCATCTTTTGTACACTTTTTTATGTCTGAGTTTTGTCAGAAACAACTTGTTCCTCCATGCAGGCCTCCTGCCACTTTTAATTCCTCCTTGCCATTTCTTTCTTAAGCTTGCAGGAGGTGATCCTTGAATTCCAACCAGCTCTCTAGTCCAGCAGTTGAACTAGACAATCATTGTAGCTCCCTTCAAACAAATATCCTATTCTGTTCTCTCCTTAATCCCTCCTTTCTCCAGGGCATCCTCTCAGGGGATCTTTCCAAGAAGATCCCAGAAGAGCCCCAAGTCTCCTACCCTGAAGTCCAGGGATGAAATACTGCTTTTTACCATGCTTCCACTTCCAGAATGCTGAACTACATCTTCTCACTACTGCAGTATTTGTAAAGCCCATTAATAACAATAAAATCCAGTTCTGTCAGCACCAATTCCATAATATGAATTTAATAACTCATGTCAAACACACTCTACCAAAAAATACATCTTCAACTCAAAAAAAAAAAAAAGCTTTGATCCTTTCGGAAAATGCATCTTGTGATCTCGTGTTTGTTTCACAGCTCTTGGGGGTGGGAAGGAAAATTAGGAGACAAGAAGATAGTGATTAAAAATGGACACATTTGGACAGCCATTTATGGCTTCATATGGTCATATGCCAGCACCTGATATTCTGAACTGTTCAGCTCAGGAACTCAGTTTCTATGCATCTAAAGTGGAATTTCCAATGGCATACAAAAGCAGAGGGTGAAGGAAAGAAAAAGGCAAGTCTTCTCCAAACCTATCAGTAAGGTGAATTTACCCTGGAATGAGTGACTGTGGAGTTGGAGTTGGCCCATTTAGGGCATACAGGCTGATGCTGCTGATCCCACTGCTGCCCATGCTGCAGGAACTCTGGGCAGACTGAGCACTGCGGTCTTGGTAATTCAATGGAAGGGTCTGAGGCCTGGCATAGTAATAAGGGGTTGAGTGAGCATCCCGTGGCAATGCTTGAGCAAAAAGCGTGGCATAACTTGACACCTGAAAAGAAAAAGATTTGAAAAGAGAAGAGAAACAAAACAAAAACAAACAAACAAATTAAAAAAAAAAAAAAAAAAAAAAAAAAAATTTAAAAAAAAAAAAAAAAAAAAAAAAAAAAAAAAAAAAAAAAAAAAAAAAAAAAAAAAAAAAAAAAAAAGATGTGGGAATTGCTTTAAGTCACATGTCAGTTAATAGGAGTGTAATATCAACAACACAAGAAATATTTGACGACCATGTTTATGCAAAGAAAAATTTGTTGATGCAATTATCATGACAAAAAGTGCCTTTCAGTGAGCAACAGCATTTTAGCAATACAACTTCTTTTTGCCTGCAAATCATCGTTAGCAATAGCTGCAAAAAGCACTTTGGTGCCAGCAGCACTGCAACTGCATTTTGCTTTCCCTACTCCATTTAAAACTCACTATCACATGAGCAGACATCACACCACCAAGCAGAAAGTAAACATAAAAACCACCCATCTAATACACTCACAACTTCAGTTGCACATGTTGGACAGCTCATATTTTTACATTTATGTAGTGTAAGAAAACTACACCGAATATTACAGATACTTAACAAGTGTTTTCTTCCTTTCAGCCTCACACACATATCATGAAAACAATCTTGAGGTACTGGTCAAGTCTGGGTAATAATTCTTGAAAACATCTAAAATAATTGACACACATTTCCTATTTCTCAGAACCAACAAAGTCTCCTCACCTACCTTGTTAGACTGCTTACGTGGATCCTCACTAAGGCTAAGCAGGAGGTAGAGTATTGACCATTTGTTTTTCAAAATGCCCTTCAAAGAACGATGAAGACAAGCATAAATAAGTTCAACTCTTGATAAGAACAAAATTCTTTTTAATTATCCAACTTCCTAATACATACACATATAAATAAACTTTCCAGATAAGACTAACTCAGAGCCACGTTTTTGAATAAACAGGGAATGTGCAGTGCACCCTCTGTATTGCTAATTTTATGAATTTTTCCACTGTGTTCAAATAATGAATTCTCACCAGCTCCAAGATCGGCAAACAGGCTCAATTTAAAATTCATACCTACTAAGAATGTGGTTTATACAGAGTCGAACTGTTACCAGCATTCCCACACACTCTCACCACTTAAAACATCTCAGATGCAGCCATTAATTTAACCTAAATGTGAAAAAGGAAAACTTTTGGTGAAGTTTTAAGCAAGGAACTATCTTTTCTCCTTTCTCCCCTCCACTCTCCTTTACAGGGAGGCCTCAAAAGTGAGGGGTTTGATTTCTATTGCTTTAAATGCCATTTAAGAGAGCTACCAAAATTTTAATAACTTAAGACAGAGACATTGTTAATATGAAACTTGAGGAATACACAATACTCTCTAGCGAACACAGACAGACTTTTAGAATAAGACTGTTTGAAGTTTTAGATCTCAGAAGAAAGCTGTCCAACTTCAGCTAAAGCCCAAGCTACAAACAGAGTACTTTAAAATGAAAGCAAGAACTAAAATGATTTCTTTTAAATATGCATGTTCCTAGACATGCTACTCCACAGTTCTGTGACACTAACACTTGCAGCTGAATTTACCAGAGACACAGAACCTTATGACGGACATTAAGCTGAGTCAAAGAAACTTACACAAATTCCCTCACAATATTGATCAGCCTATGATCTGCAATACTGAGCAATGCTGAATATAAAGCAAACTTGAGTCATATCAAGATTCAACACAGACTCTATCCCTTATGAAGCAACATAATTTACCAAAGCTCTACATTTTTATATAAAAAGAGACATTCTATATTATTATGTAGAGCACAATTCTATTATCTTCTGCTTCAATCTCAAGAACAAGCAAAAAGTAGAAGTACTGCATCTGCTGTGAGTAACTAATACAGCAACTGATAGACAAGTGGTGAAGAAGGAGCAGCAACTGTTTCTTCTACTGGCCAGGTTAAAATAAATCCAAGTGCTCCAAGAAGCATGGTTTGCTCAACTGGCAGGCTGCCATAAAAATAAGCACTGACCTCCTTTCCTGTTTGGAGTAATGGATGAAACAAAATTAAAACAGATTCACGCATGCTTTTTTCCCTTCCAAGTGCTTTCAAGAGAATTGTTGGAAGGAGAGCCTCATTGATTCAGAAAACACATCCCTTCAAGCCCTTCCCTATGCTCACAGGAAAAATAAATGATTGTACGCCATTAGTAATACACCTAACAGCAGATTGAATAATAATTGGTTGTGTGAATTTTAAAGAAGCCATTATTCTATTTCACATACACAAGATGCTAGCAGAGGAAAAAAAAGGTTAGAAAAACCTTAAATGTTTGAGGCAGTAAACAGGAGATAGCTTGCACTACATTCAGAAGAATAAGCAAACATATAACACAGGCAAGGCAATTTGTTCCAAAGATTAGTCATCATGCTCTGCATCACTATGCTTGCCAAATGCAGTACATAAGCTACAGAAACACGTTACACAAAGTCTGTATTAAGAGTTGTCTGCAAATCAGTGCTGTGCTGTACAAACCAGTGCAATCAATACACAAACCCACTGGATACCGATACCAGGACAACGTTACTCAGTAACGAGCTCCAAACATTCACAAAGTAAAGAATAAGTCAAGTCCTGAAGAGGGGAGGAGGAGAACCAAGTTCTGACTAGTCATACTCCCCATAGAATACCTTTTTTGTAATCTTAATCTCAGCATTATCATGTTAAACTCAGGTTTTCCACACACTAACATCTTTAGTCAGAATATTGGCATGCAGTGTTCTTTGATTAACACTGGTGTTAGAGCCATCCAATTCAGCAAACCCTTCACTTTCAATATGAAAAGACCTGGAGCACTTAAAAACGCAGATGCATGAGAATATTAGATTAGTAAAATCAATACACTGCAAGGCATTTCTGTAAAATAAATGATGAGAAAATTAATCAGTTTTACATATAAAATGATCCCTTTATTTTTACAGAGTTCCTTTCTTCATATAACTTGAATCAAATACTAAAAATACAGCTAGGGTTAAGAGGCATCTCTAGAAGTTGTCTGGTCCAAACCCCCTGTTTAAAGCCAGGTCACCTACAGCAGGTTGCCCATGACTGTGTCCAGTCAGGTTTTGACTTGTCTTTAAGGATGAAGACTCCACAACTTTCCTAGGCAAGCTGTTCGAATATTTAACCATCCTCCCAGAAAAAATATTGTTCATGACCTGAGCACTCTCCAAAACAACTCTAACATCAGAAGGATGCTTATGAGTGCTTTCAGTTTCTTTACACATTTATTAAACTACCTGTGAACCGAGTTTTCTGTAGAGTTCTGAAAACAAAGCAGCATCTGCTTCCCTTCTTTGCCGCACAACTATTAAAAAAAAAAAATAGTAGATTAAAAATTTGAAAAAATGTAACAGTCATGTCTTAACATATACTTGTGGCAAATTATAAGATGCAACCACGAAAGCTTCATGATGCTGGACTATTCACTGTATTTACATAAACACTGCTTTCATCTTATCTGCATACCAGCCCTGAGAATTCTTGCAATGCAAGTGATTCAATATAAGTACCTGCTTTTCTTAACTCAATCAAAATATACTTTTTTTGTCCTGGTAAAGTCTGGTCTGCCATTCAGTAGATTTAGGGACCTAAGGGACTGAAGACACAACTGAAAGCAGATAATCATTAAAGAATGTTATAAAAACTACATGTAATTGCTCCAAAACTCGAGTGTAATTGTTTCTATTTTAGGCAATAAAATCAAGGATGCCATTTGCTGCAAGTCAGGCAGAACTCCAGGGTCACACAACTTTCATGTATTACAAAAATAATAGTCTCAAATCAATGCCAGTTACAGAAGTACCTTCTTGGAGGAGACACATTTTCCAACTAAAATTTCTTAAAAAGCTATGTTGCATCAGAAAGAGCCATGCTAAAAGAAAACCAAGGCAATAAAGACATCTGAACAAACTTCAGTGATAAGAAAAATAGCTATTAAATATTAGAAATGTTAATTAGCATCAAATGTCACTGGTAAGTACACTTTGCCAAGTAAGTCATTACTTGTGTGGTATCTCCAAAATAAATGTAAAGTTGGAAGGACATATATCCAGCTGAAGTTGGGGAGGAGGATGAGGGAGACAGTCCTCTTCAGAAAACTGGCAACAGGCCCAAAGAATACACGCTGTGTTGTCTACAAAGTAGCCAAAGTATGGCAGAAAGTATATATTGTAGATTTCAGTGTTTTGGAGTTGTAGCTAGAGGAATTCTAATGGGCTTATTTGTCTGTCAGCAAGTCACGGAAGCTCTGCATTAGCAGAAACACACGGACCTTAAACCAGTTACAACCACTGACATCAGTTATCCTAATTCAATCTCTAAATATTCAAAGCTCAAATATGAAGTTTTAATTTCATTAGCACAATTCAAGTAATTGTTTCTGGACATGCTACTGTGCAGCAGAATCTGCTGAAAGCAGTGTTTGGCTTTTCAAGAAGAATTCATCACATCTCCTTTGGATACACACAGTGCAACACATGACTCAGAGCAGCAGAGAGCACAATAGAATGGAAATGCATCATCCCTTACAAAGTCATGATCTGATTTTGTTTTTAAGAAGGTGGTTGCAGAAAACTTGTAGAGAAACTGAAGGCAAGTCAGGTAAGTCACAAACCATTCCATCAATTCCCAGGATACTCATTTGTAAGTTTCACACAGGTACTCATGAAGTTAATTGCGCCAATGTGCAATATTCCTGAAGTGCACATCTCAAAAATATCAGTCTTTTACTCTTCTAAGAAGAACTATGAATTCATAATTTCCAAGTACTATTAAGGTGAATGGAGTGCAGTATTAATTGCCCTTTGTCTTCACAGTGGCTAAGATACAAAGCAGCAAGGAAAGTTTAAGCTGAGCATTCAGAAAAATCTGAGCTGTGAATACAAATAGCCACTCAGGAATATTTACTAGGAAATTAATGGCATTTACATCATGAGATTTTCAGGAATAAAGCATTAATAATAGATTAGATAACTATCTGTGAGGCAGAGTTGTCCCCTTTTCAGAGAAATAACCTCATTAACTTCAAAAAGAACTTTGTGTTTCTAAGAAAGAAACAAGATGCACTTACGTTCTTTCTTGATTTTCTCTGCTACAAGAAACTCATCACGCTCAACAGTGGGAGCAAAATTGCTTCCAATAACTCTCACTGCATACTGAAACTGTTGGGCTGCATCAGCTGAAAGAAAAAGAAAACACTGTCAGTTAAGTAGAATGCTACAGTTCTATTAAAACTAATTTTTAAAATGTGAGACATGAGATTACATTGCTATGTCTGAAAGCAGCAAAAATGTACCTGGCTTAGATCTGGTAACATTACGCTGTGATTCTTAGGCACACTTCTAACCAGAGGGCAGTAAAGTCCAGTTTATTGTAGTATTAATGTGATATTTCAAACACACTCACCTGTACATACTCCACAAATAACTGCATCAAAATTTGTAAATAAGCCCCTCCTATTCTGAGCTGAAAGAGACACTTAGGTCTACCCAGTTGCTAGAGAGCATTTGCACACTTAATTGGCTCTGCCCCTCCCCATGGACAGAAATGCTGTGGGACCTGGCACACAGTCACACAATTCAGCTCACACACCACAGCAATACACTCACGTTCACCACCTACCCATGGATCTTCATTCAGATATCCACAACAGTGCTTTTACCAGTTTGCATCCCAGTTTTAGGTTTGGTTTTGTTAAAACAGTTTGAATGGTTTCACCCATTGGTCCAAAGCCAGCTCAGAGATATCAGCATCACATCCCAATCCATAATGTGTCACAGAGGTCACAAATCAGTGACCTCCTTCCACTGCTTCTTCCTAATGCAATAATTCTGGTTTTAACCTTGTTGTTAAACTGTTTAACAGTTTAACTGCACTGTTTTAGTGCAAGTATCTTGCTTTCTGAGAAAACTAACAGTCTGGTAACACCAAGAAAGGGCCAGGTCAGTATTAATGCTTCTATAGCATAGTTATATTCCCATTTATCGACCTGAAAATCAAACAATAAGCCTACAGACATGTAAAGTGCCCTTATAAAAGGTCAGACAGATTTTTATTCCTTATCTAGAAACAACTGTAATAATACAAGGAAAAAGGTACATAAGAAAATAACCAAGTGTGCTTGCAACACTTGAATCTTGTTACTTGGAGAAAGAAACCCATCCAAGCAATTCTGCATATTGTCTGTTCTGTATATAACAATTATGTGTGCAAATGCATCACATCCTTGTGTGTTTTATTCAGCCAGCTGAGCAATCAGCTCCTAGGGAAAACTGCCAAGTAATGCAGCAAAGGTTCAGCCAACGATGCTGGTCAGGACAAATATGTACAAAAGGAACAGAAAAATGACATAAGGTAAAGAACCACTAGAAGAAGACATATATTAAGCATTTATCATCTCTTAACTAATTAACTAATATTTGCAACTGGAAAAAAAAATCACCTTGGAGACAGTAGGAGTCAAATATTGATTAAATGCATTAAAATCTTTAAAAACTTATGGAAAGAAGTTTGAAATTTGAAAATCACAATGTGCTAGATTGTGTTTGAATGCTCTACATTCTTTTTGAATGTCCATTTTATACTGTCTTGTACTATAAATGTCATCCACTGGTCCAACTCCACCAGAATATAACTGTAGAACAGCAAGCATTAACCAATTCACACAAAGAAATGCCTCACACAATCAGGGAAACAGTCTGCTCACACAAAGTCATTAACATTTAACAGCATTTCACAATACTGGCCGACAGAAGGAGCAAGAGTACTGTTCTATTGTCAGAGAAGAAAATGCCACTATTACTGTAAGGTCACAAGTCGCTATGACAAATGTCTCCCCTGCTGTTAGACTAAGCAACCTTTCAACTGCAATAAGGTTTTGAAAATACAAATATAAAAATTTAATAGTACAGCTACTGATGAACTAGGTGTGAAGAGTTAAGTATGCAGAAGCATTTCTGTGTGATTCTTAAGTTTAATGCATGCCACAACGGAGCTCAAGATTTAAAAAAAGTATTCTGCATGGCAAATTAAAAGCAAATGCTGACACTAAGTTATCCCAAACAGCGTATGTTCCATTTATTCCTCAACTGTGTACTTGGCAGCAGATAGGAAAGGGGCAAGCTTTTCCTGTAATGGGCAAGTTTTAAGGAAAATCTATTACCTCCTGTAACAACTTTCTATTTCAACACCAACCATAACAAGACTGGTTAAAGCACTGAAATTTAGTATAGCCTTTTCCATACTGCCGTCACAAGGCATCTGAGAAAGATCTCTAGTTGAAAGACTGCAATTCCACCCAACAAATCTTGCTTTTTAAACCTGTAGCACTACTGAAAACATGGAAAATTATCTGTTCCTTATACATTGCTGATTTGCACCAGCAATTCAACAGCTCTGTTGCAAGACTGGTTTTCTATTTTATTTAATTCAGATTTTCATGTTTTACTCATACCAAGTCCAGCTTCCTTTTTACAAGCAAAATTCCCTGCTGTGGGTGTTTCTTCAGCAGATTATTTCTCATGAATTCATAGAATAACTTCAGTACCTAAAGTGATTAAATATAACTAAATACAGATATGTGTCAGTACAATAAAAATTCACACAGCTTATAACTAACAGGCACATCTAATTGCTTCCCTCCCCAAATAATCATCATTATGACAGCAGACATACTTAAAATATACAGCCATCTATTTGAACATCCTTCATCAGAAAATGATTACAGCATGACTCTGTTACATAACAGCAAGCTCAATATATCTGATGCAGCTGTCTGAAAGCTAAAGGGGTAAAACAACATTGATCATTACTTGATTTCCAGAGGTCTGATCAGAGCAGAGAATGCAGACAGAGACAGCCACCTCTCCTCAGACTAGAGCCCCTAAGTAATACACACACAATTAACAACACTGATAAGCAGCCACACAGCTGAGCAGAGAACTGTCACTTGTAAATCAAAAGAAAAAAAATGAAAATTTAAAAACTGTCTCCCTTGAACAAAGCAACCCTTCAATCCTTCAAAGATCTATACTCCATGCAGCCATTCAACCTTTCCTACACACAATGCAGTAATAGAATTTAACTACTTCAAAAGCCAGGTAACAGCACTTTAAAGCTGAAGAAAATACAAGTGTAGCCCCATGGAAAAAAATACATAGAAGCAATGCATAGAAAGACTCTGGTTGTAAAGAAAGCAAGGAGAAATAGGACTAAAGATAAAATTTAAAGGAAAAGTTCACAAGACAAAGAGATAATTAGCCAATTATTACCTGCAAGAAGGCAGTATTTCAGAGGATGTGCTGAAATTCAGCAAGACTAGTGCTATAAAGAAGTTTCTAGCATTACCTATAATTTTAGGGAAGTAAATTGAAATTCACTTTATACTCTTACATATTTCTTTAAATAAGATTAGTTATTGGTCAATTAAGTTTCCAAAAGCGGGCAGGGGGAAATCCTTAAAAGCCCAAGTAGTAATTGAAACTGTTTTTCCAAATCATTGTGAGAAAACTGCTTCCTGAAAAGATGATGTTTGGTTATTTAAATACATCTATAAACAACTTCTAAATTATAGGACCATGCTAAAGAAAGTTTAGCTAAACCAGTTTCCTTCTTTCTTGAAAGACTTCAAAGATTAGCAAACTGTCCAGTCAGCTGTCCATCACCCCAGACAACCATTTTCCTTAAACACAAATACAAAATTATTGTCAAACAATTACACTCTAAACTGCATTCAGTGCTGTAGGAATGGTGCTGACCAGGGAATAATTATTGCTGCAAACTACTTCAGATACAGGTGCTGCCAAATACACATATTGAAGAAAAAAAAACCAAACAACAAGCTTCTTTCCTATAACAAAATGTTTGTTGCAAAATTAAGCTGGGAAGAAAAGCTGTAAAACTTTTCACCTTCTCACATATACCATGAGTACATATGATGTTTGCCCAGGCAGCAATGCTGCTGTATCTCCTCTGTTTTACTCATATCAGATGTTCTACATTACTATGAAGTATTACCTGGGGAAAAAGCAATGGCATTAACATGGCATATAACAATAAAAACTAGAAGGCCAATCTCAAACGCCATTAGCACTGCTGTTTTGTTCTTGAGGAGAATCCACATACACTGTGAGCAAAACTGCTTGTTCCCGTAGAAAACACTGGGTCTGAAATGTGCAATTCTAGGCCCAGCCTGGTTATGACATGCAAGGTGCTGCACTGAGTTGAGGCAATCCCAGACACAACTGCAGACTGGCAGAACCCAGTGAGAGCAGCCCTGCAGAGAAGGACTTGGGAGTTCTCAGGGAAGAACAGCTGGACGCGAGGCAGCAATGTGTGCTTGCAGCCCAGAAGGCCTGATACACACCTTGGATTATATCAAAAGAAAGGTGGCCAGGAGTTCAAGGGAGGTGATTCTCTCCTTTACTGTGGCCTCATGAGACCCAGCTGCAGTGCTGCATCCAGCTCCGGGGTGCCCAGCACAAAAAGACTTGGACCTGTTAAGAGCAGGTCCACTGGAGGGCACAAAGATGGCCAAAGGGCTGGAGCACCTCTCCTGTGAAGCCAGGCTGAGCTAGCGTTGTTCAGCCTGGAGAAGAGAAAGCTCTGTGCAGAGACATTATTGTGGCCTTCCAGTACTTAAAGGGGGTTATAAAAAGGAGGAGAACAACTTCTTACATAGGCAGATAGTAATAGGACAAGGAGGAGAAACGATTTTAAAATAGAAAAGGAGACACTTATACACCATGCTAGGTAGAAATTCTTTACAGCAAGGATGGTGAGACACTACAGCAGATTGCCAAGAGAAGCTGTGGATGTCCTGTCCTGGAAGTGCTCAAGGCCATGCTGGATGGGTTTTGAGCAACCTGGTATAGTGGGAGGTGTCCCATCCCATGGCAGCAACATTAAAACTAGATGACCTTTAGGGTACCTTCAAGTGAAGTCTTCCTGTGACTCTATGAAACATAGTGAAGTATTCAGGAAAAAAATTGATTTTACATCAGCCTTCTGATTTAGACAATATCTTAAACTTCTGCTGATGAAAGTTTTTAGTTGAAGCACTTTAAATTTATTGTTAATTGTTTTTCTAGTCTCCAGACTCCTTTCCCACAAAAGAAAATAAATCAACATAAGCACAAAATAAAGCCCAAGCCACACACACTCCCATATCTTTCCTTACTT